GACGAGCAGCGCCCGCGACCGCAGGTGGCGCCAGGGAAACATGCGCCGCGCGAGCTCGTCCTGGAGCGCCGCCGCGGGCAACGCCTCGAGGGGCGCGCGGTCCACGGGCGTCGGCGCGCGCGGCGACGGCTCCGGCGACGGCGCCCGTTCGGGCGCCGGTTCGGGCGCGGGCGCGGGCGCGGGCGCGGGCTCCGGCTCCGGCGCGGGCGCTTCCGAAGCGACGTCGCCGGCGGGCGCGGGCGCCTCGACGGGCCCGTCGTCGGCGGGCGCCTCGGCGACGCTCTCGGCGTCGTCGTCCTCGTCGACGTCCTCCGAGCTCACGGACGGCGTCACGGCGACGGCGAGCGGCGCCTCCTCGGGGATCGCGGCGGCGGCCGCGCGGTCGCGCTCCGCGGCTCTCCGCGCGACGGCCGCGGAGCGGTCGAAGATGGCCCAGTCGTCGCGGACGGGGCGGTGCTCGCGCGACGCGACGCTGCCGAGGTCGTCGAAGTGGCTCTCGAGGTCGTCGAAGTGGTCCTCGGCCAGCGACCGGAGCTCCGAGAGGCCTATGTTGGGTCATTCCGGCCAAACTTCAAACCTCTCTAGCTCGGTCAAATCGAAGTCGATTCGGCTAATTTTTGGCCGAATCGATGGCTCTTGTCGAGTTTTCGAAGCACGGCAGAAAACCTTGCGTCGAAACCGTCGACTACGCGCACAGTGAAGTCGGGCGGAAGATTCGAGTTCGGCCCGGCGAGAGGCCCCCGAAGCTGTACGCGAGGCTCCCGCGCGACGCGTGCGACGCCACCGTCGCGTCGTCGTCCGTCACCCGCGCGACGACCTCGTCGTCGTCGTCGTCGACGGTGAAGCTCACGACCGTGCCGCCGCCGTCGTCGGCGGCCGCGGCGCCGCCGTCGGGCGGCGGCCGCGCGCGCGCGGCGGCCGCGTCCGCGAGGTCGCGCGCGGCGGCCTCGGCGGCCGCGCGCGCCTCCTCCGCGGCGAGGCGCAGGTCCGCGCCCGCCCGGGCGCGGCGCCCCGCCTGGCGCAGGAAGGCGCCGTCGTCGCCGCGCGTCGCGGCCCGCGCGGCCTCGGCGGCGAGGAACCGCTCCGCGGACGCCTGAGCGTCCGCGGCGCTCGACGGCGTCGGCGAGAACGCCGTCGACGCGGCCGTGTCGCGGGACGTCGACGCCGTCGCGGGCGTCGCGCCCGCGGACGACGACGCCGTCCAGCGCGACGGCGAGCGCGGCTCGGAGTCGGCCGTCGCCAAAGAGTCGAAGAGCGACGACGCGACGGCCGGCGCGCCGAAGAGCGGCGCGTCGTCGTCGTCGTCGTCGTCGTCGTGCGCGGGCGTCCGGAGCGACGTCTCGAGCGTCGCGGCGTGGGACGTCTCGAGCGTCGCGGCGTGGGACGCGTCGAGCGCCGCCGCCCGGGACGCGTCGAGCGCCGGCGCGTCGAGCGCCGGGGCCTCGGCGCGCTCCGCGCCCGCGCCCGCGGGCGCCGCGGGCAGCGCGTCCGGCGCCGGCGCCCAGTCCCAGGCGTCGCCCTCGAGGTGGCGGAGGAGCACGGCGCCGCCGTCGAGGAGGAAGTGGGTCTCCGCGACGCCGAGCACGAGCGCGACGTCGCCGGCGCGCCACCGGCCCGCGGGCGCGCGGAGCGCGGCCCACGCGCGGGGCCCCCGGTCCGGCGGCGCGGGCGCGGGCGCGCCCCCGTCGTGCGCCGACGCCACGGTGACGACGGACCGGTCGAGGAAGAGGCTCTCCTCGACGAGGTCGTCCGCCGGCGCCGCGTCGTGCCACTCCCACGCGCGGCCCTCGCCCGCGCGCGGCACCCAGTGGCCGCCCGCGAGGAGCCACGCGTCCGCATCCGCGCCGACGACCACGAAGGCGTCGCCCGCGCCCAGGCCCGCGGCGGCGTCGTCCGCGAGGATCCGCGCGACGCGCGCGGGCCCCTCGCGGCCTGGGCAGCACAAGGGTGATTCAACGTCGCTTCAACGTGAGTGTTCCGCGCGCGCGCGTTCCGGGAAAAGCGCCCACGCGTCGAGACCGTTCCGAGAGATGATCGCCCGTCCAAAAATCAGCCGAAACGAGTGGAAAACGACCGAGATAGGAGCCTTTGAAGTTGGGAATTTCGCTCTCTTGTGCTGCCCCGCTCGCGGCCCCGCGCGGCCGCGCCGAGGTCGTCGACCGTCGCCGACGCGAGGCTCTCGGCCACGAGGCCCCGCGACGTCGACTGGTCCTGCCAGGACACGGCCCGCCGCGCGCGGTCCACGAGGAAGTCGCGCGCGAGGCCCGTCGCCAGCGCCGCGCGCGCCTCGACCTGCGCGGACGTCGACGGCTCGTTCGGGACGCCCCGGCCCCGCGTCTCCATGGTCGAGATTCGAGTGCCACGCGGGCCTCGACCTGGAGCTCCGCGAGCGCGCGCGCGCGGTCCTCGGCGACGGCGGCGAACGACGACGACGCGTCCAGCGGGGGCTGCGACGCCTCGGGCGACGCCAAGGCCTCGTCCGGCGAGCCCGACGACGGGTCGTCGCGCGACGAGCCGAGCGTCGGCGACCCGGACCCCGAACGGAGCGTCGACGGCCGGTCGATGAAGAGCGTCGCCTCCGTGCCCGGGAGCGAGCTCCGCTCGAGGAGCAGCGTCGACGCCTCGAGGCGCCTCGGCGGCTCGGCCGGCGGCGGCGCGGGCGCCCAGGCCCAGGTCGCGCCCTCGTCCGCGGCCGCGAAGACCGCGCCGCCGGCGCCGGCCCAGCCGCGGCGCGTCGCGGCGACGACGAGCCGCGCGTCGCCCGCGCGCATTCCGCCGCCGTCCGCGAGGCCGTCCGCGAGGGCGACGGCCCAGCGCTGCGGCGGGCCGTCGGCGACGTAGGGCGCGGACCCCCCCCCGCGCGGGAGCGCGCCGCGGCGCCGCGCGGCGTTGCGGCGCCCCTCGGCCGCGTGGTCGACGGCGTCGCCCGCGCTGTCCGTCGACGCCGACGGCTCCCGCGGCGGCGGCGGCGCGTCGCTCACGGCCCGGCAGGTGTCGACGCCCCGCTCCGCGGCGGACACGGAGAAGGCCTCGAGGGCGGAGCGCTTCGCGGACGTGTCCGCGTTCGACGACGACGACGTCGACGCGGGCGCGTCCGTGGACGCGCGCGTCGCCGTCGCCGTCGAGGGCTCGAGGCCGCCGTCGCTCTCGTCGAGCGAGCTCTCGTCGTCGCGGTGGCGCCGCGCCGCGAGCTGCTCGTAGTGGTCGCGCATGTCGACGACCTTGCCCCGGTCCGTCCTCACGGCGTCGCGGCGGCCCTTGCCCTCCGCGGTCTCGAGGTTCTCCTTCTCGCGCGCGCGCGCCTCGAGGTCCCGGGCGTTGTTCCGCGAGAACTCGTCGCGCCGGTCCCCCGCGAGCGCCGCCAGCGCGCCCTGGCCCAGCGCGTCGAGCAGGGCGCCGTAGTCGGGCGTCGCGCCGGACGCGTCTTCGTCCCCCCTCTCCCAGCGCTCGGGCGCCGCGTCGGGGTCGCGGAGCCGCGCGGCGTCGACGGCGAAGGACCCGGACTCGGCGAGGCTCCCGCTCGCGAGCGACGCGCTGTCCTGGCGCGACGCCGCGTCCTGGGGGACGCGCGCGGGCGCCGCGCGCACGCGCGGCCACATGTGGATCTCGCTCGCCTCGTCGTCGTCCTTGCGGAGCCAGTCCATGGCCGCGCGCCGCGCGGCGGCCTCGCGCTCCTTGCGCCGCCGCGGCGCGTTGCCGACGACCAACGCCGCGCTGAGGCGCCGCCGGCCGACGTCGGCGGCGCGCCGCGACCGCTCCTGGAGCGCCGCCTGGCGCTGGGCCGCCGCGCGCCGCTTGCGCCGCTCGTCGGCGACGAAGGCCTCGACGGCCGACGAATCGGCGTTCATTGTTTATCTAAGATCATGGGCATCGTCTGCGGCGGAGAGGCGCGCGTTGGGCTGCCCCTACAAGCTTGCCCATCCCCAACGCGCTCTTCAGCATGTGATCTTGCAGCTCAACGCTGATGTCAACAAACTGGGTCTCGGCGCGCGAGGTGGACGCTTCGAATCGCCGCTGCTCGCGCCGGCGCGCGCCGCAATCAGCCGCGCCCGCGGCGGTCGCTGGAACACCACCACCGCTCCACCATGGCCGAGCAGGTCTTCGAGTACGCGCCGGAGACGGAGCATGCGGCCGACGCGCCGGCCGCCGCCGAGGCCTACGCCGCGCCGCCGACGCCGGGCATCGAGACGTCGCCGCTCGCGCTCCACCGGTCCTTCGCCGCGGCCTTCGACGCCACGGCCCTCGACGCCGCGGGCCGGCCCCTCGCCGGCGCGCTGGGCGCACCGCAGCAGCGGTCGAGCTACGAGGCGCCGCGGCTCAAGCTCGCGCGGCTCCGGCGCGAGGCCGGCGAGCTCCGCGCGGAGCTCGAGCGGTCGCCGGAGGCCTACGACGCCGACGGCGGCGCGACGCTCCTCCACGACGTCGAGGCCCTGCGCCTGAGCCTCGAGCGCCTCGCGGCGGGCCTGCCCGCGGAGCCGCCGCCGCCGCCGCCGCCGGACGCGGCGGCCGCGGCGCGGGCCGCGCGCGCGGCGGCGGCGGACGCGCTCCGGGGCGCCGCCGCGCGCGGCGCCGCGGCGCCAGTGCCGCCGGCGCCGCCCGCGGCCGCCGCGGCCGCGGCCGTCGGCGCCGCGGACCTCGCCGCGGACGAGGCGACGCTCCGCGCGGCGCCGCCGTCCGCCGCCGTCGCCGCGGTCCTCGCGCGGCTCCTCTCGCTCAGGGGCCTCCACGACGCCTCCGCCGAGGACGCGGCCAAGCTCAAGCGCGCGCTCCTCGAGCAGCAGGCGCTCCACGAGAAGCTCAAGAGCAACGACGCGGCCCTCGCGCGGGTCGCGAAGGCGCTCGAGGACCGGCTCCCGGCGCCGCCGTCGTCGGGCTAAAGTCGAGCGGGGCTTCCGGGTGTTTCGCGCAGCGGTGTGGCGAGCCATCGAGCCACGGCCGACGCGCTACGGTAGTGACTGTGGGGACGCATGGCCGGGGATGCCTCTCTAGGGCGAAACTCCGAGGCGAGTTGCACAGCACGATCACGGGGTGCTGATCCGCACAAGGCCGTCGCGTGGACCCTAGAGCCAGCGAGCCGCGCCACGCTTGGTTTGCCCAGCACGATCAGGGCCGCCTCGCTAAAAAATCGCCAAAAAGCATCGAGAGCTACTGAGTTGCGCCTCGCTTACAGCTGTAGACCTCTTGGGTTGCGTCTAGTCACTCGCGCGCTCCCTAGATCAGCATCCGCAGGTTCCAGCCGCGCGAAGCGTCGCGCAGACGAATTTTTGCGGCTCGAAACGGCGTGTGACGGCGGCCTGCGGGCAACGCTCTCATGAAGCAGCTCAAAATGCTCCGTGTCGCCTTTGTAGCCGTCGCCGTGACCGACGCGGCACGAGTCTCGACTCCCCTCGAGCCCGACGCTCGCCCGGCCTCGGCGTCCGCCCCCGAGCTCGCGCCCGCGACGCCGTCGGAGCCCGCCGCTCCGGCATCGGCGCGATGCGCGCCCTCGTTCTGGTTTTTCCACATTCCAAAGACGGGCGGCGCGACCATCCAACTCCATCTCGCATCGCTCGCGAAGCAGCACGCATTTACCTACGTGAATTTGAACCTTTTCAGAGATAAACATCAGCAAGAGTCGTGGCCTCCGTTCGACATCTTGACGGGGGCGTCTCGCGGGCCGTTGAAGGCGTGGTTGAACGCGAGACCCGTCAAGTCCCCCGTCTTCGAGCAGAGGCTTTTGCTTTTTCGAAGGGAGCTTCGCAAACCGCGCCCGACGTTTACCGTCCATTACCACCACAAGATGCCGGGGATGAACGGCACGACCGATTTGATCCGCCCGCTGCGCCGGTACCTCGACGCGCGAGGCTGCGACCTGAAGGTCGGCGTGGTGCTCCGGGACTCCGTGGACTGGGCCGTGTCTAGGTCGCGCTACCAGACCGACTTTGACGGCTCGCACGTGTCCAACAAAACCGCGAACACTCGCGACGGTCAGTGCCGCTATCTGCTCTACAACACGCCAAAGTTCCAGCATCTATCTCTCCCCGTCTGCGACCTTGCGAGGGCCGACGAAATCCTTCGACACGATGTCGACTTCGTGGGTACCACGGACCGCCTCGACGACTTTTGGACGTGCGTGCAATCGAGCATGACGTGGCCTCGCGCTGAAATTTTGCCGAAGTACAACACGAACCCGTACGCGTTGAAAGCGCTGTCGACCGAAGACCAGCAGCGCATTCGAGAGAGAAATACGTTAGACGCGCGACTCCTCGAAACGCACGGCGGCAAGTGCCGCGTCACCGCGGCGGCCGATGCCTCGGCGACCTCCACCGCGACTGCCGCCTAAAGACCCTCTCGCCAGTGGAGCTCGACGCGGCCGACGCGCGGCGGGCGGCGCCGTGGGACGTGCTAAGGTAGTTGGTTGAACTTGATTACGATACCCACCGGCTACCATGCCGTCGACACGCCCGCTGAGACGCAGCACGTCGGGGAGGGAAGCTCAGACGGCCGGTCTGCCTCTTCTCCCTCGATGAGGATCTCCGACAGGACCGCGCGATCCACGTCGTTCGTCTGCTTTGTCTTGCTCTCCTTCCGGGGCAGCGGATCCGGCGGCGCGACTTGAGCCGCGGGCCGAGCGAGCCTCTTCGAGGCGGCGCGCGCGGCCTCTTCGGGATTAACCTCGCAGGTCTCGACGAGGATCGTGTAAATTGTCGCGACGAGCACGAGGGTCCCGATGACGATCATGGCGTAGCTAAAAATCGGACCTTTGAACATATCGCCGGGCGCGCCGTCCTGCTCGTCCATATCCTTGATGAACAGCATCAGCGACGCGATGAACACGAGGACGATCTGCGCGTTGCCCACGTTCGCCAGGTTGTCGTCCGCGTCTTTGACATAGGGGCGGCTGGACGTGTAGACCTGCATCGAAAGGAACGCGATGAGAAGGCCTATGGCTATCTGCGACGCGCTGCCCGGGTACCTACATCGAAACTTCATGTACATCGAATCCTCATGTACCCGGGAAGCTACATGAAAATCAGCAGGCCCGTGAGCGCCAGCTTGCGGACGCACTCGAAGACCACGAACTGGTAGCAGCGCGGCTCGTACCTGGCGCGCGAAGGGTTTGGCACTGAATGCGATGCAGACGAGACGCTGCGGCGCGCTCTTCGAAGAGAAACGCGAGATGCTGGATCGACTCGTCCGCGTCACGCGTCGCGAGCTTTCGTTTCTGCAACTCCGCGGCGGAGACTGTATCGGCGCCGAGCATCGTCGTCATCAAGTCTCGCGCGGAAGAACTTTGCTCCGAGAGTCGCGCGTCAAGCTTCCTGTACGCCTCCGTAGGAGCGCTTCGAGGCTTACCGTCGTTGCTGTCCTCGATCTTGCCGAGCCGACTCTCGTCGACGTTCGGGTCCAACTGCTTGCGGTACCGAAAGAGAAGGACCCAGTAGAGGAGTGGTATTCCGACGGGGTACACGAAGAGCATGGCAAGCGCGTAGGTGGACCAGGTGCCCTTGTAGCTCGGCGAGTCGCACGAGATGTCGTGATCCGCCTCGAGCACCTCGATCGTCTCCGTCGAGCCGTCCGAGAAGCCTTCCTCGTAGCTCACGCAGTTGTAGAAGCGCAACACCGTCGTGGACACGCTGGTAAACACGACGAATGTGAGCAGGAGGAAGGTGCCGAACGATGTGCTCCGAATTGATTTTGCCTCGTCGGCCGTCGCGCACATCACGGCGAGCTCGCCAAACAAAAAGATCAGTAGCGAGAAGACAATAGGGAGGACCGTCATCGCGAGCAGGCGCATCACAACTTGGTTCGAGGGCGCGGACCGCGACGCCGCGACGCCAGCCGAGGTCCGGGCAGAGGGGAGGCCGCGGCCCCGACGCTGGCAGAGGGGTGCGGCGTCGCGGGAGCTGGGCCAGGACAATGGCCAGGACCGGCTTCATGATGCGGCAGTCGCACAGCTTGTAAGGCCTTCACGAGCAGACTTGCATCTGGCCTCTCCGGGCCCGCAGGGAGCCGGGCGGCAGGTACTAGTAGATCTACGGCGCTCCGCGCGCGCGCAGCGATCCGCCGCGCGCCGCACACGTCACCGTGTCGATGGCCGCCGTCCATGGACCATTGCTCTGGCTAGCGCCATTGCTGTGCGCCGCAGCAGCCATTCCTAGCGTGCGCCTCAACAATGGCGTCGAGATGCCGATCATCAGCGCGGGCACCGCCGGCTACAACGATTCGCAGGCGGCGCTCGCCGTGCGGGCCGCGCTGGCAGGGAATGTGACGGCCATCCATACGGCTTTCGACTATTTCAACCTCGCCGGCGTCGCGAAGGGCCTCGAGGCGCGCCCGCGCCGCGAGATCTTCCTCGCGTCCATGACTTCGCCGTGCGTCCACGATTCGCCGCCCGCGCGGAACGTCACCGACGCGGGCGCGTGCGAGGCGCTCACGACGCGCGAGCTCGAGAGCGTCTTGACGTCGCTGAACACGACGTATTTGGACCTCGTCATGCTCCACGGGCCCTCGGAGCCCTTCGGCTACGAGGGCGCGTGCTCCGAGGCCGTCTGCAAGCTCAACTCGGCGCAGTGGGCGGCCTACGAAAAGTTCATGAGGGCCGGCAAGGCGCGGGCCGTCGGCGTGAGCAACTACTGCCAGTCGTGCCTCGAATGCCTCTCCGGGACGACGCCGGCGGTGAACCAGCTCCAGTACCACGTCGGCTCGGGCGCGGACCCGGAGGCGCTCCTCTCCTTCAACCGGGCGTGGGGGGTGAACGTGCAGGCCTACTCGCCGCTCGCCTCGGGCGCCGTCGTGCGCGACGCGGACGTGGCGAAAATCGCCGCGAAGGTCGGCAAATCGGCGGCGCAGGTCGCGCTCCGCTACGTGCTCCAGAACGGCGCGAAGCCGAGCGTCGTCGTCAAGGCGTCGAAGCCGGCGTACCTCGCCGAGGACCTCGACGTCTTCGACTTCGAGCTCTCCGCGGCGGACGTGGCGACGCTCGACGCGAAGACGACGCCGGCCGGCCAGCAGGACGGGCGGCCGTCCTGGGGCTGCGCGGCCTAGGTTCGACGTCGCCGCCTCGGACGTCGTCGTCGCTCGCCGACTAATTTTACAATGCTAGTTAGCTCACGGCGCACTCGTTCGGGTCGATCTGCTCGCCCGCCTCGAGTTTCGACTTGAGCATCTGCGTCATACCGCCCACGAGTTCCTTGCCCTCCTCCGTGGACTCCATAGGCAAGGCTCTCTCAGGGTCTCTCGTTGAAGTCTCATTGAAGTTCAACTGCCAAGCAGCGGGTCCGCCGGCGAGTCGTCTAGGCGAGTCGTCGCGTGCGGGTCGCGCCGCAGCGCGGTGCGGACTCGGTTTTTTATCGAGCGCGCCTAGAGCAGCTTCTGGAGGAAGTCGAGGTAGGCCGCGTCGTCGACGATGTGGTCGGGGAGCTCGGCCTTGGTGACCCAGGTGTGGTCGTGCGTGAGGGCCGGGTCGACGGGCCCGCTCGTGTAGAGGTCGACGACGATGGCCCGCATGAAAAACGTGCGCTCGAGGCCGCCCGCGGCGGTCTCCGCGTCCCAGGCGCCCACGGGCCCGTTGCCGAGGACGTAGGTGTAGAGCTCGGGCCCGCACTGGGCCGCGAGGACGCCCTCGCAGGCCTCGCGGAGGAAGCCGTCGTCCCCGAGGGCCGCCGCGGGCAGCCGCCACGGCGCCGCGGCCGAGTCCTTCACGAGGAGGAATAAGGACTCCGCGAGCTTGCGCTCGAGGCTCCGGACGTCGCCGGCGCGGTCCGCGTCCGTCTCCCGGTTCATGAGCGCGCGGATCTCCTCGGGGATCTCCTTCCGCGGCGCCGCCTCCCGCTCCGCGGACGTGCCGCCGCCGACGACGGCGGGGTAGTCGAAGCCGTCGTGGACCTCCAGCGACGCCTGGAGCTCCCACATGGCCAGCTCCCAGTCCTCCGGGTCGGGCATGAGCGCCGGCGTCCGCTCGACGACGACGCCGGCGACGAGCTGGGCCGGGCCCAGGCGGCTCTCCAGGTCGTCGCGCCGGTCCCGGAGCGACGCGACGTAGGCCTTGCGCTCGTAGCGCGCGCCGGCGCTCGCGCAGCGCGCGCCGCCGCGGAGCGACCGGGGACCGCGGAGCGCCGCGCGGCGCGCCGGCGCCGACCGCAGCAGCGCGTTCAGCGCGCGGCGTGCGATCATCGTCGCCGCTCTCGATCTTGAAGCACTTGATGAAGCGGACGTTGAAGCGGCCCGGGACACCCCCCCCCCCCCTCCACGCGCCGCTCCGGAGCCGCCTCCGTTACGCAGATCGCCGCCCCCTAGGCGGTCTTGGAGTAGTCGAAGACGCCGCGGACGCGGATCATGCCCTCCTGCTGGAGGTCCATCTCCTCCTCCATGCGCTGGACGTCCTTCTTGTCGCCGCGGACGACCATGAGCGTCTGGCTCTCGTCGTCGTTGGCGCTGAGCTTGACCTTGACCTCGCGCTGCTCGTTGTCGCTCGCGGACTTCCAGTAGTAGAGCCCCGCGTAGGGCGAGAGGAGCGTCGTGAGGAACCAGTAGGAGCCCACGTCGACGCCGGCGACGGTGGGGACCTGGATCTGGAGCACGAGGGCCAGCGACGCGAAGCAGATGAAGGTGCAGAAGACGAGGAACGCGGCCTGCGACACCTCGGGCGCGATCTTGCCCTTGAACGTGATCGTCTCGCCCGCCTCCGCGACCTCGTAGTTGTTCGCCTGCATGTAGGCCATGACGTCGCCGGCGACCTCGCGCATGGACTTGGCGTCCACCGGCGCCTTCTCGCCGGGGAACTCGTAGGTCTGCTGCACGAGCGCGATCTTGGACGCGCGCTTGATCGTCGACCACAGCCCCGGGAAGGAGATGACGTAGAGGAAGAGCGTCGCGTAGAGCGACGCGTAGGAGCCCTGGAACTCGTAGCTGAGGAGCGTGGACGACGACGCGAGGGTCGCCGCCAGCGCGCCGGGGTCCGCGACCATTCTCGGGGAGCCGACGACGCGCGCCGATTGGCGGCGCGGCGACGCGGCGGGCAGGGCGGCGCGCGGCGCGACGAAAGCGCTCGCCGTCGCGAGGACAGCGGCGAAGACGGAGGCGCGGACCATGGTGGACGTCGGCGGAGGCGTCGGGCGTCTGAGGGAGCGGTGGCGTCTGAGCAAGCACCCTCAGCACTGAGTCGGCCGCAAGGCGATCGACGGCATCATCACCTCGATGCAGCCCACCAAGGCCGCGACGCCATCTGCGGCCGCCGCAGCCCGCGGAGCACCAGCGCCAGCCGCAGCCGTGCGCCGCGGCAAACCGAGCGCATAACAATCATAGCCAGGCTCTCCTATTCCTCTCATAAGAGAAAATTCTCCGGTCTACCAGGGTAGGAATACCTTCGATCCCATTAGCAATGTGGGCCTGCGGCTGCTTCGCGAGCGACGACGGCGGCGCCTACGACAGCGACGCCGAGTGCGCCGAGTTCGGCGGCGGCGCCCGCGACGTGCGAGCGCCGAGCGAGGCGCCGCCGGAGGACCTCCTGCTCGCCGAGGCCGAGGGCATTTTAGGGGGCTACAGCAACGTCACAATGGGCGCGCAGCTCTTCCCGAAGGTCTTCGGCGGCGACGACTCCGACTCGTCGGACTCGGACGGCCTCGAGGAGGTCTACAGCCCGCGGCCGCCGCCGCGCTTCGAGCCGCGGTCGCCGGCCGCGCGGTCCCTGCAGCCCATCGCCCTGGCGCCGGCGCCCAAGGCGATGCTCGACCAGCGCCGCGAGTCCCGCGCGAGCCTCCGGCGGCTGCCGACGACGGACCAGCTGACGGCGGACCTCGAGCGCGACGTCGCACTGGTCCGGCCCCTCGGCCGCGGGTCCTTCGGCACCGTGAGCCTCGGCGTCCACGTGCCGTCGCTGCGCCTCGTGGCCGTCAAGGAGGTGCGCGTCGACGACGCCGACGAGGACCGGTCCCTCGCGCTCCTCCTCGAGGAGGTGCACGCGCTCCACGACAACCTCGTGCCCCTCGACGAGTCCGGCGCGCCGCGCTGGCTCTTCAAGGACGCGCTCGCGCGCGGCGCGCTCCACCCCTGCGACCAGCTCGTGACCTTCTACGGCGCCTACGCGGTCACGGACGACGCGGGCGAGGCCGTCGGCGCGGACATGGTCCTGGAGTACATGGACGGCGGGTCGCTCCACGACGTCGTCCACGCGGGGGGTTTGCGGGGCCACGACGGCGCGCTCCGCCACCTCGCGGGCGAGACGCTCAAGGGGCTGCGGCACTTGCACGCGTCGGACGTCGTCCACCGCGACGTCAAGCCGTCGAACGTCTTGGTGTCGCGGAGCGGCCGCGTGAAGATCGCGGACCTGGGGCTGGCGGCGAAGGACGACGACCGGGCCCATGTGTTGATGGAGGGGTCCTTGATGTACTTCTCGCCGGAAAGGCTTCGAGGCGACTGCCACGCGGCCGCGGACGTCTGGGCGCTCGGCGTGACCCTGTTCTCCGTCGCCGCGGGCCGCCACCCCTTCGAGGACCCCGCCGCGCCGAGCGGCCGGCGCGACACGCTGTCCCTGGACTTCTTCGCCCTGTCGGAGCGGCTCACGACGGGGCCCGAGCCGCGGCTGGACCAGCAGGCGTACGCGCCCGTGGCCTGCGACGCCGTCGCCGCGGCCATGGCGCGCGACCCGGCCCGGCGCGCGACGGCGGCGCAGCTCCTCGCCATGCCCTTCCTCGCGCTCGCGCGCGACCGCGCGTTCCTGTGCCGAAACCAACCACTGGTTTGGGTGGTCCTGACCAAACTTGAGGATTCTCTAGCTCGGTCAAATCGAAGTCGATTCGGCTGATTTTTGGACGGATCGATCGCTCTCGTCGAGTTCTCGAAGCCCAGCTGAAGAGCTCGTGTCAAAACATTCGAATACGCTCATATTGAAGTCGGGTTGAAGATTTGGTTTCGGCACAGGCGCGTTCCCGTTCCCCGAGTCCGTCGTCGACGCGGTCGACGACGTCCTCGAGCCGCCGGCCGAGGCGCCCGCGGCGCTCCTGGCCGTCGTCGCGGACACCGTCGCCGCGCACCTCAAGGCGACGACGGCGGACCGCGGCCGCGGGAGCCTCGGCACGGCGCGGCGCCGGTCCGTGTCGACGCCGCTCCGGGAGACGATGGCCGAGCCCGGCGGCCGCCGCGACTCCTGGGCCGGCGTCCGCGCGTCCGTCGTCTCCCGCAAGGACGGCCAGCAGCAGCTCTCGGACATCCTGTCGAGCGGCGTGCGCTCCGTGCACCACCTCGCCGCGGACACGCGCACGGACGCGGCGCAGGTCGTCGCCGCGCTCGAGGCCGCCGCGGGCGAGCCGCCGGCGCCGGCGCCGCGGGACGACGCCGCGGACGACGCCGGGGCCTTCGAGTCCGAGACGTTCGCGCTCTGCGACTAAGGACGGGGCGCGTTAGAACGCGCGCGCGGCCTCGAGGGCGACCTCGACGCTCGCCGCCTCCGCGGCCGGCGCGGAGCCCTGGGCGAAGTTGGGCTTGCCGCCGCCGCGGCCGCCGAGGGGCTCGAGGGCCGCCTTGAGCCAGTCGGACGCCGAGGCGATGCCGTGGCCCTCGGGCACGGCCGCGAAGACGAGGAGCTTGTCGTCGCCGGGGCTCAAAGCGCAGAGCGCGAGCGCCGGGTGGCTTTTGCCAAGTTTCCCCGCGAGCTTCTGCGCGGCCTTGGCGTCGAGCCCCGAGGGCAGCGCGAGCACGAGGCGGTCCGCCCCCGCGTCCGCGGCGTCGCCCGCCGACGCCTCGACGAGCTCCGCCGCGGCGCGCGCGGCCTCGCCCGCGACCTGCTTGTCGAAGGCGCCGAGCGCCTTCGCGACGCCCTCGAGCGCCGCCCGCAGGTCCGGCTTCAGCGACGCGGCGCAGGGCGTCGCGTCGACGTCGACGCGGAGCGCCTTGGCGCGCGCGGCGACGGCGTCGCGCGCGGCCGCGCCGTCGACGGCCGCCGCGGCCTCGGCGAGCTCCGCGGCCGCGCGCTCGAGCCGCGCGCCGGCGGCCCGGGCCTCGAGCGCGGCGGCGCCCGTCAGCGCCTCGATGCGCCGCACGCCCTTGGCGACCGCCGTCTCCTGCGTGATCACGAAGTACTCCGCGGCGGCCGCGTCGCCGAGGTGGTTCCCGCCGCAGAGCTCGATGGACGCTTTGTCCCACTTCTCGTCGTCCGGGCTCGCGAGCACGTCGGCGATGGTCGGCGCGCCGGCGAAGGCGGCCTTGGGGAACATGGCGACGACGTTCACGGGGTCCGGGTACGCCTCGCCGAAGACGGCGCGGAGCGCGCGGATGTTCTTCGCGTCCTCGAGGCCGACCTTGGCGCGCTCGACCGTGGCGCCGTCCGCGACGTACTCCGTGTTGACCGCCGCCTCGACGGCCGCGAGCTGCGCCGCCTTTAGAGCCTTGCCGTGGCTGAAGTCGAAGCGGAGCCGCTCGTCGTTCGCGTCCGAGCCGCGCTGCCCCACGCCGTCGCCGAGCTCGGCCCAGAGCGCGTGGTTCACGGCGTGGGTCATCATGTGGTTCACGGCGTGCTTCCGCCGCGCGTCGCCGTCGACGACGCCGTCCGCGGCGTCGCCGACGGCCAACGCGACGTCGGCGCCGGACGCGACCGTGTGGACGACGTAGCCCGCGTAGGCCTGGACGTCGATGACGTCCACGCTGGCGCCGCCGAGGACGAGCGACCCGCGGTCGCTCGCCTGGCCCCCGGCCTCGGCGTAGAAGGGCGTCGCGTCGAGGACGACGCCGACGGCCGCGCCCGGCCCGCACGTCGCGGCGTCGACGAGCGCGGGGTCGCCCGTGGCCGCGTCGATGGCGACGAGGGCGACGACCGTGGCGCCATTCACCTCCGTCGCGTCGTCGGCGACGGTCGCGCCGACGGCGAGCGCGTCCGTCGGTGCGACGCCCGCGTCTCCGAGCGCCGCCGTCGCCGCGACGCCGAGCTCGAGCCGGACCGTGCCCAGCGCGGCCTCGGCGCGGGCCTTGCGGTCCGCCTTGGACCGGTCCACCTGGGCCCGCATCGCGGCCTCGAAGCCCGGCTCGTCGACGAGAAAGCCCCGCTCCTCGGCCATCTGCGCCGTCAGGTCCACGGGGAAGCCGAGCGAGTCGTAGAGGAAGAAGGCCGCGTCGCCGCCGAGCACGTCCGTCGCTTCGAGCTTGTCGAGCTCCTCGTCGAGGTACTTGACGCCCCGCTCCAGCGTCTTCGCGAACGTCGCCTCCTCCTCGGCTAACACCTCGACGATCGTCGGCAGCTCGTCGCGCAGCTCCGGGTAGTAGTCCCCGAAGTGGCTCGCCGCCAGCGCCGGCGCGAGGCGCGCCATGAAGCCCGGCTCGGCGCCGAGCGTCGACAGGCCGTAGCGCACCGCGCGGCGCAGGATGCGCCGAAGCACGTAGCCGCGGCCCTCGTTCGACGGCCGCGCGCCGTCGGCGATCGCGAAGGACAGGCAGCGCACGTGGTCCGCGATGGCCCGGTAGGCCGTGTCCCGGTAGTTCTGGGCCTTATCGTCGTCGCCCAGGAGGCCCCCGTAGGGCGCGGACCCCTCGGGCAGCTCCGCCAGCGTCGCCGCGAAGAGCCCCGAGAACGCGTCCGTGTCGTAGTTGGACGGCACCTGATTCAGAATAGCCACCAAACGCTCCAGCCCCAGGCCCGTGTCGACGTGCTGCGCCGGGAGGGACGACAGCCGCTTCGTCTTGCCGTCGCGCTCGAACTGGATGAAGACCAAATTCCAGATCTCGATGACCGTCGGGTCGTCCATGTTCACCAGATGCGCGACGTCGCCCCGCCCCCCCAGCGCGTCGTAGTGGAGCTCCGTGCAGGGCCCGCAGGGGCCCGAGTCGCCCATCTCCCAGAAGTTGTCCGCCTTGGAGCCCGGGATGACCTGCTCCGGCTTGAAGCCCGCGGCGAGCCAGAGGTCCCGCGCCTCGTAGTCCGGCTCCAGACCCTCCTCCGGCGACCCCTCGAAGTACGTCGCGTACATGCGGTCCATGTCCAGCCCGTAGACGTCGACGAGCAGCTCCTTGGCCCAGGCCGTCGCCTCGGCCTTGAAGTAGTCGCCGAACGACCACGACCCGAGCATCTCGAAGAACGTGTGGTGGTAGGTGTCCAGGCCCACGTCCTCGAGGTCGTTGTGCTTGCCGCCCGCGCGGATGCACTTCTGCGAATTGCAGGCCCGCTCGAGCGTCGCGAGCTGCGTGCCCGGCGCCGCCTGGCCGAGGAAGATGGGCTTGAATTGGTTCATACCGGCGTTCGCGAAGAGCAGCGTCGGGTCCTGGAGCGGGACGACGCCGCTGCTCGGTACCCGCGTGTGGCCGCGCTTCTCGGCGAAGTAGTCGACGAAGGTGTCGCGCACCCTGGGCACGGTCCACTCCGCGGCCGCCGGCGGCGCCGACGCGAGCGGGCGCAGCGCGCCGAGGCGCCGGCGCGCGAGGCGCGCCGGGCCCGCGCGGAGCGCGTAGGCCTCCGCGACGAGGAACATGGCGCAAGCGAGCATCGATGGATACCGCCGGCGATGGACGCGTCGACGCGGGCGCTCCGTCAGTCGTCCTGGGGAGACGCCACCTCGGGAGCCTTCAATCGTCTCGCGTCGCTTGAAGAGATGTTGCCCCTCTAGAGCCGTCTGCCGCACGCGTCGGCGATGGACGCGTCGAAGCCGGGCTGTGCGGCGGACCCACCCTGCTCAAGCGGCGAGGCGCGCCAGCGTCTTCCGAGCAATGTCGATTGGGGCCGATCCCCCCCTTCGGTGGAGGCAGCGGCTACGGGCGCTCGCCCTTATTTTCCAGCGCGCCGCCCGGCCGCTTCTTCGTCGGCGGCGCGACGACGTGCAGCGGGACGTCGCCGACGATGGCCCGGAGCGCCGAGGCCAGCTGCCCGTTGCGGCTCACGAGCGCGACGCCCCGGACCTGCTCGCCCGCGGCCGCGCAGTGCCGGAGGACGTCGCCGAGCAGGTCCGCGAGCCCGGACCGCGGCGGTCCCGCGCTCCGCGAGCCCGCGACCTTGAGCAGCGCGGCCCGCGCCCAGAACGGGCCCGCGGACGACGCCCGGGCGTCGACGCGCGCGCGCCAGGCCGCGCGGCCGGCGCAGTTCGGGTTCGCGCAGGCGACGTGGCGCAGCGCCAGCGGCCGCCCCCAGCAGGGCCAGGCCTCCGCCGCCGCGAGCGCCGCGCCGAAGGACCCGTCGTCCCAGCAGGCCGAGCCCTGGTCGCCGTCCCATAAAACGACGCCGACGTCGCCCGCGCGCCCGTCGGCCCAGGTCCGCGAGGGCCACTCGCCGAGCCTCAGCGCGTCGGGCGCCGGCGGCGCCACCGCGAGGCGCGCCGCGACGTCGGCGGCCGCCGCGGCGCCGAACGCGGCGTCGATCCTCGCGACGACCCAGGCGTCGGGCGCGGCGTCGGCGGACGCGGCCGCGGCCGCGGACCGCCGCGACCCCGGCGGGCGCCAGCGCTCCGGCTTCGCCGGCTTGCGCTTCTTCGCCGCGTCGCCGGCCTCGGGCCGCCGCGCGACCTCGAGGCCCCCGCAGTCGGGCCGCCGCGTCGCCGCGAGGCCGTGCGCGGCGCACGCGGCCTTGACGCCTCTCCGCTGGCGCGCGGACAGGGGCGCCAGCGCCAGGGCGCGCCGCGGCGCGTGCGCGCCGCCGCTCGGCGCGCGAGCGCCGCGGCGCGCGCCGCGCACGGCGCGGGGCGCCGCCCGCGCGTAGAGCTGGGCCTGCGGCTCGGCGGGCGCCGCGGCGGGCCGCGCGCGCTTCGCCGGCGCGGCGCCGTCTTTTGGGGCTGGTCGTTTCGCGAAGAGCTTCATGGCGTTCTTCGTGTGTCGGCAGTTGGGCCTAGCTGCTATTGTCGCGGCCTCGCCGCCATTGCTTCATACCTCGCCCATTGCTCATGCCTCGCCATCCACCGCTGAATCGCCTGGCCACTTTCAACATTGCCACAGCCACCGAGCTCGCGAGCAAGTCCTCGAGCAGGATCTGAGCAGGGGACCGCTGCGCCTGGACCCTGGTCGGCGCCGCAGCTCGAAACCCATGTCTGCACCAGCGCCGACAGAAGCCGACGCGCCGGCGAAGCGACGCCGCGTCGACGAGCGCGAGCGCTGCGGCGTCGTGCGCGTCGAAGCCGCCAAGACCGGGCGCGGCCACTGCGGCTGGTGCGACACGCTCATCGCGCAGGGCGCGCCGCGCGTCGTGAAGCGCCAGTACCACGGGCCGGGAGACTACGTCCGCAATAACGGCGCGTCGACCGGCCGCAACTCCGGCGGCGTCCAGGACCTCTTCCTCCACCCGCAGTGCGCGTGGACTCACCTGACGTCGTCGCGCCGCGCGACGTGCGCCTGCTGCGGCGCGGGCCTGGCGCCCGGGACCTGGCACTTCGCCACGCGTCTCGGCCGCGGCTCGGATCGCTGCGTGGAGTCGGGGTCGGGAAAGACGCGGCAGTGCGCCGACTGCGTCGCGGCGCTCGTCGGGAGGCACCGGCGTCTCCTCGACGGGCATCTGGGCGCGCGGTCCCAGTTCGACGAGCCCGTCGCCTGGGTCGCCGGCCGCACGCTCCTCGGGGAGCGCTCCCTGCGACCCGAGCCCGCCGCGCGCGCGGAGAAGGCGCGGCTCCGCGCGGTCTTCGCGACGACCGCGGAAGCGGAAGCGGGGGCCGTCGACCGGCATCGCGCGCTCCAGGCGACGATCGAGACCGCGCTCGCTGACGACGCCGCGCGCGGCGGCAAGCTCACGCCCAACGACCGCGACCGGCCCGCGCGGCCGACCAACCGCGCGCCGCGCGCGCGGCCGCCGCCGGCGCCGCGCGCCGCGGACGACGCCTGGACGTGCGGCGGTTGCACCTACAGGCACGTCGAACGCGAGGCCGGCTTCCTCGCCTGCGCCATGTGCGCGACACCGAGGCCTTAAAAAAGCGCTACGCCCCCGGCTTCGTCGCGGAGTAGACGTAGTAGCGGAGGCCGTTGAGGTTGAGGCACGTGAAGCAGTAGACGTTCCAGGCCGCGCCGTCGACGGCGCTCGCCGCGCGCCCCAGGAGGGCCTCGAGCGTCGACGGCGCGAGGACCGCCGGGTGGCGCAGGGGCGCGGCCCAGTTCGGGAAGAAGGTCCGCGAGCGCGCGTTGTTCCAGATGACGACCCGCTCGGACACGTCCGCGGCGTCGACGGCGTCGAAGCCGACGCCGCGGAGCTTCTCCGTGAGCACGCGGAGCCCGTAGACGTTCGCGCGGGGGATGTGGGGCCGGAACTTGAGGAGCAGCACGTGGAGCAGGAAGCTCAGCGGGTAGAGGAGCAGGTGCCGCCCGAGGAACGTCGGCAGCGGCCGCCGCTCGTACAAAATGTCCGCGACGGCGACGCGGCCGCCGGGCTTGAGCACGCGGAAGGCCTCGGCGAGGAAGGCCTCGCGCGTGTCGTAGTGGAACGCCGACTCGAGGGACGTGACGACGTCGACGGACGCGTCCGGGAGCGGGATCGCCGTCGCCGAGCCGACCCTGAGCTCCACGCGGTCCGCGAGCCCCGCGGCCTCGACGCGCGCGGCGGCGACGCGCTGCTGCTCCGGCCCGATGTTGAAGCCGACGATGCGCAGCGCCGGGAACTCCCTCGCCCAGAGGAGGTCCTGGTCGCCGTAGCCGAAGCCGACGTCGCAGACCGTCCCCGCGCCGGCGAGCCCGCCCGCGTCGGCGAGCTTGCGCGCGAGCGCCGCGGCGCAGGTCGGGTAGTGCTCCACGTCTTTGACGGCCTCGCTGTAGCCCAGATTCATCCAGAGGCTCGGCACGTCGGCGTTGCGGCGCAAGACGCCGTCCAAGTTCGCGTCGTTGTAGGTGCCGTCGGCGCTGAAGGTCTCGAACTGGGAGAGGAAGAAGCGCAGCGATTGGAAGGACGAGACGACGGCGCCGCGCAGCACGAGCGCCGCGACGGCGCCGACGCAAAAGGGCAGGACGCTCTCCATCACTCGTTGCCACAAAAACAGCAGCTTGAAGGCATGATGCAGTGTACCCCCCGGGTAGGCCCTCTAGCTTTAACCTCTCCTAGCCTAGAAGGGCAAGGACCACACAAATTTTTATTCACGCGAGGTGCAGCACGGCGGGCGCGTCGCGGTCCGCGAGGACCTTGCGGAGGTGCGCGGCGTCCGGCGTCGTCGCCGCGAGGAGCGCCGCGTCCGGCGACGGCGGGAAGGACCGGCCGTCGCCGGGCGACGCGGGCGACCCGGGGTCGAAGATGGGCGTCGCGAAGAAGACGG